AATAAACTATGAATTCAAGACGAAAATTACCGTCGCAAAGTTTACTTTTTGCAAAGAATGTACCTAAGTTGCACAATCCCAGCAACATTGAAATGCTCTTAGTTCCTTTTTGCAAAATTCGATCCAATTGGTTGTTGCTGCAAAAAATAGTTTCCCACGACCTGCTATACAATGCTCCAGTGACTATGTAAGTTGGCCCGAGCACTAACTTTTCGGGAAGGAAGATTTCCCCTATCTGGTTTCTCACTTAATATCCACCCGAGTTTTGCATATCTTCCGTTTCTCCTCGTCGCAGCTTCCATCAAACCGCAATTGCCCGGAAACTAGGACCGCACATCTTATCTGATAAAATCGTTCGCCCTTTAGACCGATTCTGGGGGGTTAGGCTGGACTAGTCGATGAGTCAACTGTTGATCTAATTTCATTACGTGAACGTAGAAGAAAAACGGGGTAAAAAATCACTAATGTGTGATCAATTTTCAAGGACAATTCTTTAATTTCTCCTACGATTTTAAATAGATTAAAACGTGTAATATCCAAAATCTAAGCTCAGATTTGGATTCCTCGTGAAAAACTGATGCGATTTCATGCATCAAATTTTAGAATAGCGTGAAGGAAATAGGTTTAATGACGTAAAAAAACACTAATGTGTGATCAATTTTCAAGACAATTCTGTAATTTCTCCTACAATTTTAAATAGATTAAAACGCGTAATATCGAAAATCTAAGCTCAGATTCGAATTCCTCGTGAACAATTGATGAGATTTTATGCATCATATGTTAGAATAGCGTGAAGGAAATATGTTTAATGACGTAAAAAAACACTAATGTGTGATCAATTTTCAAGGACAATTCTGTAAATTCTCTTACGATTTTAAATAGATTAAAACGCGTAATATCCAAAATCTAAGCTCAGATTCGGATTCCTCGTGAAAAATTGATGAGATTTCATGTATCATATGTTAAAATAGCGTGAAGGGAAAAGGTTTAACGACGCGTATAGACTCTGTCGTACTTCCCTTTTGAACTACGCCGCCGCCTGTCGCCCGAGTGAAACCGAACGGGGAGGCGCCGCGGCCGCTAAGCGCCGGCTAAGCGTTCGGTTTCGTCGCGAGGAATTTCTCACGATAATTCTTATTCTTCCTCCTCCGCTGACCCACTGAGCACTACCCATGTTGCCATGTTGGATTCATATGCTCGAATCAGTATGTCCACGTTACGTATCTTTCCTTCACGCTATGCTCGGGCATGATACATGAAATTGTATCAATTTTTAACGAGGAATCCGAATCTGAACTTCGATTTTGGGTATCACGCGTTTTGAGTCAAATTTTCCAAATTCGAAAATCTGAAATGACTGACGTGGCTTAAAATGCCATCTCGGCTCCTGTTCGATGGATTTTCTTGAAATTCGGTGTCAGGGTATGATACATGAAATCTCATCGATTTTTTACGAGGAATCCGAATCTGAACTTCGATTTTGGGTATCACGCGTTTTAAGTAAAATTTTTCAACTTCAAAAATCCGAAATGACTGAAGTTGGCTTAAAATGCCATCTCGGCTCCTGTTCGATAGATTTTCTTGAAATTCGGTGTCAGGGTATGATATATGAAATCGCATCGATTTTTTACGAGGAATCCGAATCTGAGCTTCGATTTTGGGGTTCACGCGTTTTAAATCAAAATCTGGCAAAATTCAAAAAATTCAAAATTCGAAAATCCGAAATGGCTTATAAAATGCTATCTCGGCCCCTGTTCGATGGATTTTTCTGAAATTCGGTGTCAGTAAGTATTTTTCGACGGGAAACTCGAATTTTTAGTCAATTTTTTAAAATTCTCAAATTCAAGATGGCGGACGTGGGCTAAAATGGTATCTCGGTTTCTGTTTGTTCGAGTCTTGTGAAACGCGGTATCGCACTGTATTTTTCAACGGAAAACTCGAATTTTTAGTCAATTTTTTAAAATTCTCAACTCCAAATTGTTGGATGTGGCCATGGCCTAAAATGAGCCCCGATTCTGGCCTCCGTTTCTGTTCTTTAGAGCTTTGGGAACCGCGGGATCAGGGGTACTTTTCGACGGGAAACTCGAATTTTTAGTCGATTTTTGAAAATTTTCAAATACAAGATGGCGGACGTGGCCTAAAATGCTATGTCGGCTCCTGTTCGATGGATTTTTTTGAAACTCGGTGTCTGACTGTATTTTTCGACCGGAAACTCGAATTTTTACTATATGTTTAAAAATTCTCAGATCCAAGATGGCGGACGTGGCCTAAAATGCTATATCGGCTCCTGTTCGATGGATTTATGGCGCCCCCTTACTACATGCCTACTCTTGTATTTCTGCACAGCCGCAAATTTAGGGTCAAGGGGGGCCTGACCGTCTAGCTATGGACCAGATGGAGTTTTTGTCCTGATTTACCTTTAGACGGCAATTCTCTTTATATTTTGTCTATGGTTTTTATGCCCCCCCCCTTTCTCGCGGACTCTCTTTTCACTTTTCTTGCCTCCTTTTCCTTTCCATTTCCCCCTTCTTCCTTGCTTTCACTGCCCAACTTTGTTTCCTTTTCCTTTTTTCCCCTTGTCCTTTCTTCCCTTTTTTTCCTTTTCCTTTCCCCCCTTTTTTCCCTCTCTTCTTCTTTCGTGGCGTCCCCCAAAGGCTGGCGCCCGTGTGCGCCGCACGCCCTGCACACGCCCTAAGTCCGGGCCTGTACTTACGGATATTTCGGTAAGACGACATGAGGCAAGTAACCTGGATTGCATGTAGCATCGGAAAAGTCGAGGAATCAGCGGCACTCTCTTTGTGGTTTAATTGCCATGTTGGCTAGCCGGCACTTGATTTGTGGTTTGCGCCAAAATTCTTAGTTTCTAATGGTCTTTCCAATGATGTATTACAAGGTAGGAATTACGAATTACCATTTGAAAAAAAAAAGCCCCCCCCCCCCCCCCCCNGGGGGGGGGGGGGGGGGGGGGGGGGGGGGGGGGGGGGGGGGGGGGGGGGGGGGGGGGGGGGGGGGGGGGGGGGGGGGGGGGGGGGGGGGGGGGGGGGGGGTACGGACTTTTGGGACACCCTGTATTTACAGAGACGTCATTGATAAGATAAGGATACTGGGATAGGATAAACATAACCTCAATCTTCACTGCACTGCATGCTTTTTGCATGTTGTATCTTAGATTTGCTAGATTTTTAACTCATGTAAATTTGGTACCTACAATTTTATTCTTATATAAAACGGTTAATACAAGCGTGCGTTAATGTTTTTTTTGTTTGTTTAATAGTTCGAAAAAATTAAATGGCTCTAGTTTGTCTCCACAAGTGCTAAATCTTTGTAACATCCACCCTCTGACTTCACTCAAATATAGTAATTTTGCCCATCAAGTACATCTGATGAATTTAATGACCTAAAATTATTTCGAAAGTCCAATTAAATTTTTTCTTTTTGATTAAAGCTGTGGGACGAATCCCTTGTTTTGTGCAGCTTTTCAATCATCATGAGCAGCTTCAGCAATATCGTGAAAGCCCCGCTGGATAACACTGAGGAATTAATTAATAAATTTGGATGGATGGTATGCCTGAACTCTTGTTTTGAAATTTATCTGATCAATTATATATCTTAAGTGAATAGATATCTGCTCAGATTTTATTGCTAAAAAACTGTCTAGCATATTCCTGAAATTACAGAGGTCACAAACGCAGTTTTGAAATACGAGACTGTGTCTCCTCCTGCAGTGTTAGAAAGATCACATGTATAAACCCTTGATTACTGTTCAAATGCATTAACATCAAAGTGAGAATTCCCTTAGAGAAAGAGCCAGAAACACTGTATACAATTTATCTACCGGTGGTTCTTATCATTGTCAATTGTTTAGCAGGGAAACTTGTGGCAAATCGATTGTTGCACGAAGGTACTTGCCCTGTTGAATCACTATGATTAATTTTGAAACGTAAGACTCCTTAATTATAAAAGTTTAATTGCTAATTGAAGATTTCTTTAATGTCCTGCCTTGAGTTTCTCTTATTTTGAGGTAGGAAGGTAATGATAAGCCATACAGTCCTCAGTTGGGTTTCCAAACCTTCCTTGGGTTTTCCAAACTGTCCAGGACAAGTTTTTCTCACTTAACAGAAGGTATTGATGTAACTGAAAAATTGAGTTTATTCTCCTTTTTCAGATAAGACCCTGTGACAGTTACAACCGTGAATATACAGAATGTGCCGGTCTAAAGGCTCGTTTTTATCAATTGTTTATCCACGGAGAAACGCAGGACTGTTTGCATTGGAAATCGAATTACAGAGATTGTAGCAATTTCCAAGACAAAAAGGATCCAGAGGCTGCTGTAAGTTTTTTGTCCCTTTTTCCTCCACTTTGAGTTCAGAATAGGTAAATATATTGATTCAGCATGGCTACCATCCTAATGTTGTACATTGTTTTCGGGTGACAGCAGCCTGATTCAGATTTCAGATTCAGATTTCATTTATTAATAAAGAAAAAAACATAATACAAATTAAGTTAAGGCCACTACAAATAAAATTGCGAAGAGGTCTAGCCTCTTGCGGCAAAAGTGATAATTGATTCTATGTCGATACCATGAGATGAGACAAACCTAGCCTTATCTTAACCATGGAATATATCACACTTCGATGTCTATTTCGGTCTGCCAGGATGTGGAAAGTTCCAAGCTTTTCTCCATATTTAATTGACTTTCCCCCATCCTTGGCCAAAATTTATAATCATTTCATTCTGAACAATATCTAACAAAAAAGAAATCCTCATTGAAACAACTATGCTTCCTTTAACAACTAAAATGCAGTAAATATAAACATTCTGGAACAAAGCTGGCAGGGATTCTCCATTGGTACAATTGTTTCTCCGTTCTCATGGGGGCTCTCCTGTTTCATGCAACGAGTACGCATCAGGGCTTGCTAACGTTTTCGGAAAGTTTCTGGACCTCTGCAGCCTAATTTTCTAAAGTTTGCATTTGTTGACTGAATACAACAATACTGAAGAGGACTAGAGTTATGTAATTGGTTGCCTTTATCGGTCATCCTCTCGGTCATACCTGTGTCAGATGGATTTGACGGCAAAATATCGGCAACTCTATTACATTGGTTAAATGGCAAAATACAAACAACTTCATTTGTATGATTTAACTTCTGTATGATCTGTATTGAAAAAACTTATTAATTTTTCGTTCAGGAGTTAATTTCAGAACTTTCCATTGTGTGATTTGTTTTTTCCGGAGGATTTTGAAGAGAAAACATGTGACGGTTTTTTCTAATTCAGACCCTGTCTATTGGGACGATCTGGCTTTAGATTTTAGCCTTCGACATACATGCAGCAGATCACTGGGGTGTCCCTGTCACCAATGTTGTCCAACCCCCCAGCAAGCGTTTCCCACTTTCAGGGGCTTTTTTGGCAGGGAAAACAATCTTCATCTCAATTAAAAAAAAATTGGGGAAAATGGGCTTCTTTGCCAGTAACTGAAAACTTTGCGTTCCCCACTTTCAGGGGTTTTTTTGGCAGGGAAAACAATCTTCATCTCAATTAAAAAAATTTGGGGAAAATGGGCTTCTTTGCCGATAACTGAAAACCATGGAACCACACACAGCTTATTTCTAAATGAAAAATTTGGAAGTTACAGAGCTTATAGTTGTAATAACCATGAAATGACTATTTTTTTGGTAAAACCTGTAAATTCAATATCAGGAAATCACCTAAGATCAAATTTAGAGGGGGGGAGGTGGATGATTAGGAGTAGTGGGAACACCAATCTCTTGCATAGAAGAGTGCATTGCAATTAAGGAAAAGCTGACGAGGTAAAAAGGTTAAAAAAGTGCTGAGTTCAGTCTCCTGGAAATATGTTGGGACATCTCCGTCTTACATGCAGAAGTAAAATTGTGCGTTAGGTTAATCGAAATTTATCTCACCATCACAACCTCTGCTGTTTAAACATGTTTTGTACAACATTTTCCGTTTTTCCAAAATCTGATTCTTTTCCTAGAATCGTATATCAACTGTGCTTAAGATAGGTTCATCCTCTTCTACTTTTTTCAGAAAAGACTTATTCTCTTTGAACTGCAAAGGAGAGAGGCAAGAATAAAAGCTCACTACGCTAATGATGTGTGGGAGCACAGGCTAGAGCCACCTCCACACTGGAATGCACCGCTTCCAGAATGGATGGAGAAGAGAAATAAGGATTCATACTTGGAGTACAAACGTAAACAGCTGCAAGAAAATCCTAATCAACTACAGAAAGATAGAACTAAATGGTGTAAAATTATGTAAATTTTTAAGTTGTTGATGTGTAAGATTAGTGTTAAAATTTTTAGATGTGAATAAGAACATAAACTCAAAAAAAAGAAGGAGGTATTGACTTATTTTATATTTTCTTTTTTTAAATTCGAAGGAAAATATTTGAAAGTTTTCTGGAAGGTTTGTGCTTTACCAGGAGAAGTCTGGCAACATTCGAATGTTCATTCAGCATACTTTTTAAGGCAGCAGAATACACTCAAGCAAGGTTGAGATAATCATCAATTTCTAAATGACCTTTTACAAGGGGAATTATCTTCATCTCAATTTCTAGTAGAGATTGATGATAATGAATGAGTGTACTTCTTGGGTCAGAATTATATTGATACCAAAGGTTGGTGCAGGTCCTTCTTTTGAAAGAAATAACAATTTTGGTTTTCGGAATCAAAACATTTATTCAAGGAACATCCAAGAAACGTCTTTTCTCAAATTACATAAGAGAATCAACTGACTACTGAACTTGCAGGTTCAAAATGCAAGTGAAAATGAATCGAAAAAGTCAGGGCAAAATAATGTCATTCACCATAATAGACTTCTCTATAGCGGAAGTTAGTAGCCTCAAGAAACAGTGATGACCAACATTTTCTCCACTATGATCCACTCCACTCTCAGATCTGTCATCTCCCTTGTGTTGCTAATCCTATTGAAAGGCTACCAATAGCATTACTTTGCCCTGATCCTTTTAATTCAAGTTTTGATTGTGATTTACTTGCTATTTTTTAAACTGAAAAATGCAACAAAAATTAAACTGGTCCAAGAAACTGTTTAATGAATCTCTAAGTCAACAAAATGTAACATGATATAATTAAGCGTATAAAAATAACAAAACAATCACACTAACCTTAATGGGTTCTAATGTATAAAACAATGTCTTTTTTGCTTCATTGTGATAAAGACGATAAAGCAGCCTGCGACAACAATCTAAAGTAAGAAGATACAGTTTGAAACTGTTTAAAAGTAATGAAGCAAAATGATGAGCCAGTTTTTACGCAGATTTGGTATCACCTTCAGAGAATAGAGTAAACCTACATTTACATTTAAGCATTTTACAGTGTTTGTAAGGACATAAATTTGAAAAGAAGTTATCATGACTTATGTCTCCTATTGCTTGCCCTTAAGAACAAAAGAAATATCCTCAGACATACTCTGAGGATAGAAAGATTCCACTAATTTTCTTCATTAAAATTGACTGTCAAAGAGGTTGCTTCTTTCAATACTCCTAAGTGCTGAAGAGCTTAATGCAGGAATCAATTTGGTTCCATTATATTAAACTGTCAATAAGTGGCTCATGGTATTTTTTTAAGAAGGTGGGAAGTTGATGAAAAGAATAATTCAATGAGAAAATATCCGTGTAGAATAATCGCAGCTTGAATAAAAAGTACAAATGACCTTATGGAAAAAAGTAATCAAATTGCTTAAAATAAGGTAGCTTCATGATACTTAAAATGGTTATCCAATATTACTGTATGTCTTAGATTCATTGAGGAACATTTTATGATTTTTCTTTTTCTTTCCAAATTTATTTTTTTTGTCTCTCAGGACATAGTTCCTTATCATCAAGGTCTGTAACAATATTGGAAGGATTTATTAAAAGTTCATCATAGTAGCCTTGCCTGGACGTTTCTTCTGGGCCTTTCTTTGCATATTGTCTGATGAAGTTCTTCACTACTTTCTCAGATGGATACGATAAAAGTATTTTGTGGCCCCAAGCAACCAGCGCCATAGGCTAAAAAAAAAATAAGACAGAAAATTAGCCACTATTTTCTTTTGATTTAGAAATATATAAAATAAAACAAAGATACAACTGGAGGATGAGGTGACTTTTCTGAATAACTTTTTGAAAAACGGAGAAGAGAATAAGTACATTTTACTACGATGATTTGATGGGGGATTTAAGACAACTAAAAAATCTTGAAAGATTCAAAATATTGTCACCTTACAGCCAAACTATCACAAACGGTATTTGTGCTTGGGCATTCTGTACCCACACTTCTCAGAATTGTCCAATTTTTTACAGAACTGTGATCAGTGGAATAGAATCATTTGAAAATTTAACCTAACATTTCTTTGGTCATCAAGATTGATCCCTGAAATTTTCAGCAAAGTAAGTACAAAAATTATAAAGAACAAATTAAAACAATATTAATATGTCCGTCAACAAAGCGTGTAAGTGTAAATGGCACTTATGATATTTTGGCTGGAAGGTGACAATGTCTCTGTTGAACTTGATATGGTTCAGATATGATGGACAACTTGAAAGTTTGGAAAATAATCAGGAAAACATTTACTCTGAAATGTTTTTCATCCTCTTTTTCTGAACTTTCGTCACCAGTGTATGCTACCAAAAATTTTGCCCTTTTTCATTCCATCTGCATTTTAAGATTCTGCTGCAAAAAATTCAAAATGCACTAGCGGAAGATGAGAGCATCTACTTATAATCGTAAAGAATGAAAACTACAAACATAGAGTTCATACAAAATAAGTTAGGACCCTTTCAGAATGAGACAGAATATCTGTCATCTTGATCCTTGCAATTACTTTCAATGCTAAGCTGCAGACATCAGATTTTCTACTGCAGTCTAAAAGTGGCCACACTTGTCAAAAATGCAATTACTCTTCGTCCTGAAGGTAAAGAATTTTTTATTACTATTTTGATCAAATGAGTCTTTTTGATTTCGATTAATTGAAAAATTGAGCCTGATCAATTTTGATTTTTCTGATGGAGAAATTTAACCTTTCCAAGGTGATTAAAACTGAGCATATTTCCATGCTTCTCAAACCTGATGAAAACTTAACCTAAAGACATTAAATTTTGGAGGGAAAATTGGTAAAGAAGAAATTATCAGTTGCAGCATTGCCAAAAGTTTAATCAATTCAATTACTTCCATCAGTATCTGATGTTGACACAATTATCTTTGCATCAATTTTATATTTTCAATTGATATTTTAAGAAATAATCGCCCATCACTGTGTTGTTCCACCTTCAATAGTTAGAGAGGAAATACAAACAAACACATTTTCAGTTGACTCGTATTTCACCATCTGAAAAAATAAGAATTCATGATATTTCAGGATGAACTTACATGACTTGTTGAGAGGCTGTTATCTGCTGTAATAATGTGCCTATACAAACAGCCTGTGACCATTTCTCTTAGCGCACTCACAAATGCAGGATGAGTGCACGGATGATACAGCATTACAATAGCTCCATGCTGAAAAAAATTATGTACTGCTACAGTTGAAAAAATCATATGAAAGCATATTTTGAGCATTCCAATTCGGGAGGGTAATCATTCAAAATTAAAAACGTAGAGGAAAAAATTTACTTGACTTCTATGTCATAAAGCACTTTTCAAATACATGTGGCATTTTAAGCATTTTGCATGTTCTTTAATAAGTTCAGAACAAAGAAACCATGAAACGTAATCTATCTTTCTTAATCTAATTTAGAATAATACACAGAAAATTATTAAAGTGGTGCAACTGTTGTGCAGTTTCAGCTGCATTTCATTTCAGAACAATTCGACAACTATTTTTTATCAACAACATTGAGCTATTCGTTATGGTTGATCAACTAAGGCTTGGTTTCCAATACAATGGTATAGCTTAGTTACAGCAATAAAAAGAAGGATTTTATTGCCTGTTGCTTAAAAATAATGTTCCAGATTTTTATTAATTTTGATTTTTACAAAATTAAACGAAAGCTCTTATGATTATGAAACTATGGTACCAGTCAAGAAAAGAATCAAGCCTTTTAATGATGCAATAGCATTTTAATTATTAATGACAATTAGTTATGATATTTTTTACTAAAATTTTCAACTTTTGAACTCCCTCTATTGTGAGAATGATTTTGGTTAATTCCCCTTAAGTTATTGAGACCATTCTACATCTAACTTATTTTTCCTATACAGGATTTCACGAACAGAGTATAGTTTGAGAGAAAAACCTTCACGAATAAATGCAATATTTGACCGACTATATGAACTAGTGGTTGCAAAACAAGAAACAAAAAGTTGAGGAAAATATGGAAAAGTGAGAGTATATTACCTCTAGGTTATGGAGCCACCTCTGTTTTGGCAAGAAAACATACTCTCCCCATTTAGCCCATGCTGGTCGATGATTTCCGCTGAAACATATTAGGCAAAGTAAGCACAGTAATCTCTTTCTTGGTCAAATCGATGAAGCCAGACAAAATCCAAAATTAATAAAAACTTAATCAAAGCATGGCTTACAAAAGAAGTATCAAAGACACCCTTTTTTTTGCAAGACAAAACTGCTGTTTGAATAAAATGAGGGAAAAACATAGCCTGAAACTAAATTGCTTATACAATATTCTTTTATAGCTAGCTATAGCAAGCAATAGCTTATTTAAGCTACAATGACAAAAACTGTACTTGTAGACACTTAATAACATCAGTGATAAACTAAGGTGCACATTTATAAAACAAGTGACGTAAGTTAACAGTAATTTTTTTAAAGAAAATGGTTAATAGTGCTAATCCTGCGCTCAATACCGTAGTTCTCTTATACCCAACCCAAAATGACCTCTGCCTTAGACCATCTAGGTCAGGTCACCTGGCCGGGAATCAAACCCTCCTGATCATAAGATGATGGATATCTGCATCAGCCTGTCTAAAGACTGGGGTTTTTTAACAAATTTTTCAGAATAGTTCATAAATTAAAAATATATTCTGCTTATTTCTCTTGTGATATATATGAGGAAAATTTCATATCAATTTCCAATAAAATTACACAGCCTACAAAGGGCGCATGAGAATGGAGAGGGAAGAAAATAGATTTAACATTATACTTACAACATAGGGATGTTAGTGTCATATTCAATTTTTTCATTCATACAAAGATGAGCAGCCTGCAATGAAACAAGGAAAACACAGATTAGGGTCAGAATAATTTAACCTCACTTCTTATACAGTTTTGATGATTAATAAAAGCAACCAAAAATATCATTGAGGAGACACCAGTTGAATATTTTCTCATGCGCTAAAAGGAATAACAATTTTCATCACATAAAAATGTCCAATCATTTAAAGTACTTCGAAGGAAATTTTTAGAGGGATTCTTTTTGATTATTTTGAGGAGAAAAGTTACAAAGCGTAAGACCAAAAACTGTAAAATTACCCGATGGACAGGAGGCAGAACTTTGCTAAACAATTCACTTGGGATACTTGCATCAGGAATCAACTTCTTACTTGTAAAACATGAGTAATTCACTGGCGAAAAATCCCAATCCACGGTGAGATTCATCTGAAATAAAATAAGAAAATCTTGTATAAATGACAAATAGATGGTGCGTTTGCCACCATACATTAAATTTGGCATAAATGCGTGAACATGATAAGTTCCAACAACAAAATAAATGTCTGGTCACCAAGCTAGCAATCCTTTTATTCCATTTTCTTCTCATTTACTACAGCATTTCTTAATAATGATATAGGCACCTATACCACTACATTACATTTCACTCTATAATTTCTTGATTCAGGATGTCTACTAAAACAGGCGGGCCAAAAATCAGTACTTTTTCAGTATATTCCCAAAAAATTCAGTACCTTCTCAATAGAAAAGTCAGTACTTTTTCAGTACCTCCATTTGACGAAATTCGAAAAAATTAAAAAATTTGAATTTCTCGCTTAAGTTGAGACAAAAATGACCAAAAAGTGAAAAAAATTCCGGACCTTTTGCGGAATTTCCTCACTTTTTCAGTACTTCCGGACCCCCTTTGAAAAATCGGTACTATCTTCGAACTTTCCCGAAATTCCGGACTTGTAGACACCCTGATTTCTGTCTTATTATTTTAATTATATTTACTTTCTGATTACCATACACATGATTCCTCAGCTTGTTTCTACTCCAATATTGATTTACTGAAAATATTTTTTCCTCAGATTTAAAGGCATTTTATTGAATTCATTTGTGAGGCTATTTTCTACACATTTGAAAGGAAACTGCAGTCTGTGAAAATGCACTTCAAGGAGCCATTCACCTCTACCTGTTTCCTCTTCTTTTTTTCGTGTTCCTATAAGAAAACTTTGAAATATAGTTTAATATTTGTCAGCATACAAAATAATTCTGTAATCTTGATTTTGAGTTAAAACAATTGTCTTTGCCCTTTTCTCAGACTCTAAAAGATATTGATGGCCAAAGTGCAAAACTACATATCTATTGCACTATTTCAAAATGTCCCCTCCTATTTTATTTTTGTGAAGAGAAACAAGTCAACTTCATAGCTTGAAATTCACACGGGTTATTTTGATTTTGCTAACAGTGAAGAAATATCATTGAAACTTTTCAGAGTACTAAACCAGTTTTCCAAAGAAAAAATAAGGTTTGGAAGGAAGTTTACGGAGTCTCAAACCGAGATGTGTGGTCACACTCTTTGGCCATTGATAAGAATATTAAGTTGATATTATTGTTTAGCAGGTTCGTATTTCTTGGGATAGTTTCCACTTCTACATCAGCTGCGAGGCTCAATTTTCAGTTGTCTACCTTTCCATTATCACAGGTGTCGTTGATCCACTTGAACATGTCAAGTTTTTTGGGACCGGCTACAGAGGGCGGGTTTGGTTCTAAGGGGAACCAGGGAAAACCCTGGACATCTCCACTTTTCTTATTTTCACTGATGAGGAAACCTAGGCAAAGAAATAATTAATTCAGTTAATTCAAGAAAGAAAAAATATTAAAAATAGAAAAAAAGGGAGCAAGAGGGATATGAATATTAAGTATGATCACTCTCTCAGGTAACAAGCACAAATACATGAAATCAATGATTATGAATAATAATCAGTGATAGTTTCTACTTTCTCCTATGACCTGAATTCAATATTAAACCATCGATGCTATCAGTAAACAAGCGTTGTGTTACCAGCAGGCCAGTGAGTGATTACATATTTTGATGATGACCCTTGAATCTCAGAACAGCTAAAACATTACCTGGAACTATAAAGGCTTTTGCAAAAATTGATTCTGTACAAACTACTAAAATGTGTGCAGAATTCAAAGTGGGTTCATTGGCAACTATTCGTGTCCTTCCTCTTTAGTAACAGTCCAATCTTGTAAAATCCCACTACTATTTTTTTTCCACTTGAGAAGAGAGTCAAGCATTCGATTTGCCTTGGTTAATACTTATACACTCAAACTTATGTAAACAATACTTCCTCTCCACCCTAGGGGAGCGAGAAAGTAAAAATTCAGGCTGTAGTAAAAGGTACCTTCCTCAAGTGTTTCAGTTAATCAATTTTTGGCATTGTCTTCCTGGGATCCGATCATATAATAAAATGCTAAACTTGCCAGCAATACCCTGTGATTTCACTCACCGTTCTGTTCACCAGCTCTCCAGCCTCAAGAGATCTGAGACTTGGTGAGCAGACCAGAGAGTGACATCATAATGGGGGGGATGAAATGATCCAACGCTCGTAGTCAAATGGTAGAGACTGATCTATATCTCGATCAAAATACAAATGATATACACTAGATACACTGGCTACTGCCTAGGTGATACCTCTAATTGCTGCCTCCACAATACGACGTTGCGCCGCGGAGATCAAGAGTATATATCTTGTAACGTCCGACCGAGCTATGACGTTAGAGACGGGATTGCGAGATGATCGGCGCAACAAGAAAGACGCTCCATATGTCAACATGCTCGCCTGAGCTTGCACTTGCAAAAGCGATGGCTTTTGGACCAAAGGAGCCAGAAAGCATCGTTGAATGCTGACATAAAACCGTAGGTGATATGGCATCATTCCACAACATCACCAGGTAAGCCTGACAAGCTCACTGGCAAGTTTCGCAATACGTCCCTCAAATACTCACAAACTGATGGGCCTTGTATGGGATCAGTTGATATTAAGGAACTCTAACTGCAAGGTGTATAAACAAGGGTCGTCGCATTTGGAGTTGAGCTGTCATTCTAGAGGCTAGTGACGTACAGATGGTATATGCTTTCCCTTGCAATTACAATGTACTGGATACCATGTGAGGTCAAGAGAGTGAGAGATGCAACCACCTTGAACTAACTCGGTAAAAATAGTGAGCCTGATTGATCAGAATACCCTCAGCCTTCAGTTTCATGTTCAGGTCTAATTTATTACTTCGTAAATCTCCAGATATGTGTTCCTTAATTCTTGCAAGAGTTGAAGCAAGTCTGCTTGAGAATGGCAGCTAATATATTGTCGATGAAAGACTTCAGAAATAAATATGGAATAAATCTGGACGGATAAAAAAGTAGATCCACTCAACAAGCAACAGGTGCTGTGGGCAACGGTGCTGTAAGATCGAACTTGGTATTTTACCCAGAAGAATTTTTTTTTTTTTGGTAAGAAAGAAAAGAACTGAAAATTAGAGTTCGATAACAAAATCATTTTAGAGGGATGGTGATTACCTTGGGTGAAAGTGACGATTAATAAGGGGAAAAACAATGCATTCAAACACAAATAGTTTGGCATGGCTGATGTTGAAGTAGGAGTTGTGAGTACTTGCAGATTGAAAGATAAACGGCCTTAGGTATTTACATTGTGACACTCTTTACTCAAATCACATTTAATGATTAGAAGTTTAGCAAACCATCTGTTAAAAATTAGGATGACTTGGATGACTACACTACAAACTACAAACAAGCAGCGGCAGCGAGCAGGAGTGGCAGGACGCAGGAGCAAGCAAGCAGCTGTTTCAGAAGTGTTTTTGTTTATATTTTGATAAAATCCTCCAATCTCTCCAAAGCTCACTGGTGAATTCTCATGTGGCAGACATAGAAGGAAAATCATGACGTCATATCCAGTGTTGTTTTGATAGATTTGCCTGGACACTGCGAAACGAACCTTGATTTTCAGATCTTTGGGCTTCTGATTAATTTTAACTTCGTTATTTTTTTAAAAATGTTATCTTGGTCGTCTCATTTTATGATTCTGTGAATTCTCTGAAGAAGTAAGTACCAATCATGCTTTTTTGATAATTTTGTGTCTATGCACTAGGATTGACAATGCCTTCAACTGCCTCCTCTCCAACTTACTTTAGGTGAGAATTGGCTGTGACTTGCAGCTATTGAGTCACAATCATTTCAGTAGCTGTGTACAAAGCATGCTTTAAGCATATTCAGTGCAGTCGACTCTATCATACCATAATCATTATTCTCAAAGCATTCCTGTTCATGTTATAGGCTTGATGTTACAGGTAGGCACCAGTAAGTCGTAATATTTGTGGTCTTTCATCAATTTTGTCAGTTATTTTGTCTTCCTTAAGCCTCTATCAAGGTAACGGGTTTCCATGTAGACTTGACGCGACCAGTCGCAGCATCAGTAGCCTCTAAAACTCAGCTATAAATGCTATAATCGATGACCATTAGGTTATCGATGAACTCTGCCCTCCCTTAACTAATGAAGAAATTAGTATTGAGTGTGCAATGAGTCATACGCCCTCTCAAGGCTGCGATTGTATCCCTCATGAATTAATGTAGCTTGATATTATGAAGAACACTTGGATGATGTAACCTTCTTCAACAAGGTTATTGTAAATCCTAGGGGTGGTCTGGTACCAAAAAAGTGAATGGTAACACCGGCCCATCAGAGCTCAGATTGGCCCATTCAGTTGTTTTGCTGTGTGAACTGGGCAAACTGGCCTAAAATTGTTTTAATTATCGACCGGCCTTAAATTTTTCCAAAAAATTGCCTATTTTTCTAAACTGCGGCATGAAAAGCATGTGTTTTTTGTACAATCGCCATGAAAATCCGGTGTTGATTGCAGAATCGCAGCAATTAATATGTACCAAGCCTTATTAAGTAATCCTTTTGAAATTTCTGCGGAAAAGGGGGTTTTTCAAATGGGAAGATCAGTTTGACAAATGGGAAGGCTAAGAACTTTTGACATCCCTGCACTGATAAAAAAGGGGAGTTAGGAGGCTACAACTTTATGCATCACTGCTTCGACTTGTGAGGTTGCGCCGAAAACTCACTTCGTAAGTCTCATGAAATGAAATTTCCAAAAGAAGAAGGCCCTATTCATTCCAAGCCCTTCTCAGAGTATGTGGCTCCTTTTTACAGTTCAAAAGAGCCAGTTCAGAATGTTTCAACGAGTTGTTTTTGGAATGAATGCAGCATGTTAAGTAAAGGTGAGTCTCGCCTAATCATAAAGCTGATGCTGCATTTTCTTAAGAATCAAAGGCATGGTAGGTAATTCAAATGTCCCAGAAGTAGGGAAAGAAAAGAATGACCAAATGTGACATCAAAAAATGACACCATTCAACAGAAACTCAGGTCCTAACCATAAACGGCTGATACAATTGTGTTAAAGGTCTGTGTAAAAGGCCAACTGACGACTAATGTATTTGGGTTGATGTGACATTTGTCCATTTTTTTCTTTCGGGTTTTCTATTGTGAAAAGAAATTCAATCACACAACATCTGTCACATACTGGAAGCTTTGGATCATAAGTTTCTTTAAAATCAAGACAGCTTTGATGCCAGACTGAGAATGAATTGCAGGATAACTCATTGTTCATCAGAGTAAAAGTCCAATATTGATGGCAACGTAACTCACTAATGATGGTGTTTGAATGTTCATGTTAACCTATCGCAGCAGTTCCCAAACTGTGGTCTGCTGACCTCTATGAGTCAGCACACTGGAGTTAAGGGGATTTGAACTTTGAAAACATTGCAGCAGTCATATTCAACAAGATTGTTATTTTAAAGCAGATACATATTATTTTTTTGTATGTTTCAGTCCTCCAGACTATAGTTTTGACTCCCTCTCTGATGTTCAAAGAGGTTAATTCTGACTACGTGACAAGTGCCTGGCCTAGATCATCAACTCTACATTTTTTACTTCTGGCCTGGTATGTATACATTTTCCTTTTATTAAGTTTCATTCATTCATTTTTCTTCTACTTTTCACAAGGAATCATGGATATTTGTCACTCGACAAACAAGTCAGCAATGTTAGACAAAAGCTAACATCCGAAGGGGAAGAGCAGGTGTGAAAAAAGATTGAAATGCTGACATTTAAGACCTTAGGTACAACATGTTTTATAAACCTCCATTGATCAAAATAATGTAAGGGACCAAAAAGGCAGAAAGAGCCAAGGCATAATTTTATACTGAAAAAAATAATGGACAATGAAAAGCTACTGTGTTCAATTTATTCTCAAAGTATATCGATGGTGAAAGTACCAAACGACGTATCTTAGTTTGCAATGCTGTAGACTTCATGTCATACTTTTTTTTTAAATGGAAGCTACTCAAAGTTAATCATTGAAAAATTCCCTGTTTTTTCCTTCTCTGTGAGAAGAAAACTTTGTGAAAAGTCCAAGAAATTATTTTAATTTGTTCTCCTTCAAAAAAATAAAATAAACTAGGAGCGGAGATTTTTAAGTACACCGCAAACGAGGTACGTGGTCTGGTAGTTTCACCATTAATACGTGAAATAATTTTTACTCAAAGTAGCCAATATCTCAATTTTTTAAAAAAGATCACTTAATGCTTTTACACTGCCGTGCTACCTCAATTACCTCATGCACAGCCAACTATCAAATAATCATTTTTTGTCAGACAAGCTGAAACTTGTGGGAACTTAGTGGCCAAACTTATTTGACAAGTGCAACTTTCAGTAGTTTCTGAGAGGAGCGTTTGAGTCATTCTTTACTGAGGCCCTAGTAGTTCTCTTTTTTCTCTTTCTCTCTTCTCTGGATGTGGGCATCATATGGCCCCTAAAATAAAAAGACAGAAATCAGGGTGTCTACAAGTCTGGAATTTCTAGAAAGTTCAGAGATAGTACCGATTTTTTAAGGGGGTCCGGAAGTACTGAAAAAGTGCGGAAATTCCGCAGAAGGTCCAGAATTTTTTTTCACTTTTTGGTCATTTTTGTCTCAACTTAAGCGAGAAATTCAAATTTTTGAATTTTTTTTAATTTCGTCAAATGAAGGTACTGAAAAAGTACTGATTTTTCTATTGAGGAGGTACTTAATTTTTTGAGAATGTACTGAAAAAGCACTGTAAAAGTACTTATTTTTGACCAGCCTGTTTTAGTAGACACCCTGTAGTCAGTGTAGTCGTATAATTTTAAGGCCCCCTCCTTACGGCTCATTTTGCCCAGTTCCATTTCATGTTTGCACCATTGTTTTTCTGTACAATTCAAGGAAAATGAAATGATGTATCTCCAAATAAAGGGACAAACGGTCAATATGCATTATTCCCTGATATACTATCTAGTGTCTTAGTAGGGGGGGGGGGGTCGGGTCAGGACCACACGACCATCTAAACCGGAAAATTTTCCCAGAGAAAAGCCATTTTACGCGATTTTGAAAAAGTTTTGCCTTTAAATCCCCCTCCTTGAGAAATGTCCAGCTGAGCGGCTGAGCCACTGATACTTCGCGTTTTCTCGGTACAGCAGTAAGTCCGCCGAGGTGTACTCTGCCGTGCAAAGTAAAAACGCAGTATGAGCATTCGGCGTTGCCAAATCTCAAACATCTTCGACAAAGCTCGAATTTTCAAGAAAATTTGCGAACGTTTCTCTTCTGATTTTTTAGAGGAGTTAGTTAGGTTAGTCCGTTAAGTTAGATCCGAGAAGTCCGAACATTTCAAGGGGAAATACTCATAACTTTCTTCAAAAATAAGTATTTTCTGAGAGGAAATTTGACGCCATTCGAATGTTCATACTGCGTTTTTACGTAGAACGGCAGTATACCTCATTGAGGGGTCTACTGGCACTCGTTGACGTCGTCGATGCGTATGTAATTCAGTAGCGAGGCGTGAATGATCGATTATCGATACTTCCCCATTTGAAACTGTGGTAAAGAATCGGGCGGTCGTTGCGAACACCCTGTCTATCGATCCTTCTCCATAGGTTTAAATGGCAGATCAATCGATGTATCGCAAGCCACTGACGTGATGCGGCTTGAGAAATCAGCGCGACGGCCGTCGTGATTGCACTTGTACGTCGCGGCGCACAGTGGATCGAGTCAGTTAGAGAGGTCGGACAAGAGATTTTTTACTAAAACTGCAAATTTTAATGTTTATTTCGTCACATTTTAAACTTTATGGGATGTGCCTGGAAGAAAATTTTACGAGGAAACCAATGGAACCACTTAAAGAACCTTAAAGTTGTGTAGAAACGGAGTTTTAAGCGTTTAAATTTTCCAAATTTCGTCCGACCTCACCTATTGACTGGATCCATTGTGCGGCGTTTGAGTATGTTGCTGTTGTTTTGGACATTATAGGCATGTATGAATCCTCGCGATGGGATCGGGACGGTCTTCAAGCTTATCTAATTGCCCGATTTCGTTGATAAACGCCCCTTTCTGCTTTTATTTTCATCTTGTCAGTAGTCCTCTTCAACTCCTCGCACAAGTGGGTACGGATCGCTTCTTTTTTCTCCCATCTGTGGTCATTTCCGCGTCCAGACTCGTCGCGTCGAAACCGAGTCATGTGTCTTTTGTTTGTCAGATTTCGAGGAGCTCCGCCGGTTAGGTTCTTTCAGCACGTTGTTCACCGCTTTATGGCGTATGCGAGGGTAGATTTTAACCCCCTGTGATCGTTTTGACCTCTACTCAAAAAGCATATCGTTGTGGCCAAAATGGACCATTGAGCCAGCAGGCATCACTACTGCCGAAGAATGGCGAATGAAGAATAGGCTTTCAGAAAAAGTCGACTTTAACCTTGACTCAACCACAC